TTGTTCAAGAAACACACAATTTGTAGTCACAGTCAGTCAGTGTGGCATTTTATAAATTCCTGCTTTTGGAACAAATCCAGCCTGATTCCAGGTTAAAACTCTGACACAGACTCTAGACAAGGCCTCACACCGACAGTGCAGTGTCTGATCTGAGATATCACCTATTGCATGTTCTTATCGATCTGCCTGTTTGAAGTTTGGAAAGTTAGGCAGACACCGATGAAAGTTTTAGTTATCTTGGGGCAGTAACTTGAAACAGATTCTGGAATGTGCATCTTAATCAATCAAAACTAACAGAGTTCTCCATATCCTGCTTCTACAATTTCCAGAATGCAGGAATGTATGATTGATTAAAGATTCAGCAGGAGGCAGTCAGCCAGCTACTTTAGGTTTGTTTGCTCCACTCACACCAGTTGTATGATCCTTTGATCTCTCTCCCTATAAACTGTGAGTTTGTGTGCTCTTCTCTCTCACAGCAGCTGACAAAGGGGCTGCACTCCGAATGCTTGTCCTTTCAAATAAACCTGTTGGACTATAACGTACTGTCGTGTGATTTTTGACTTTATCCACACCAATCCAATACCGGCACCTCCCTATCATAAGTGAATAGTGTAACAGATTCATGTGATTACACCAGTTCCTACTCCCTTAATTCCTCTCAATTGTCTTCTCTACTCTCAACTCCAAGAACAATTGGTCAATGTTGTCCTCTCCATCACAAGGCCTTCTTACTTTCCCATTTGTGAGTGTGTCAGGAGACGCACAGACTGTATGAAAGCATTCTTATACACCTAACACCTGAATGGTTTCTCCAGAATGTGAATGGTTTGGTAATTACTGAGTATCATAGAACATAGAACTGCACAGCACAGTACAGGCCCTTCGGCCCATGATGTTGTGCCAAACTTTTACCCTAAACCTAAGGTCTATCTAACCTCCACCCTTACCTTACACTATCATCCATATGCCTATTTAATAGCTGCTTAAATGCCACTAATGAGGCCGACTCCACTACCCTCTCCGGCAATGCATTCCATGCCCCGACCACTCTCTGAGTAAAGAACCTACCTCTGACATTTCCCCTATATCTACCTCCACACACTTTAAAACTATGACCCCTCATAATAGCTATCTCCACCCTAGGAAAAAGTCTCTGCTATCCACTCTATCTATACCTCTGATCATTTTGTACACCTCTATCAAGTCACCTCTCATCCTTCGTCGTTCTAAAAGTGAAAAGCTCTAGCTCTCTCAACTTTTCCTTGTAAGACCTTCTCTCCATTCCAGGCAACATCCTGGTAAATCTCCTCTGCACTTTTTCCAATGCTTCCACATCTTTCCCGTAATGAGGCAACCAGAACTGGACACAATACCCCAGATGTGGCTGAACCAGGCTTTTGTATAGCTGGAGCATAACTTCACAGCTCTTGAACTCAATCCCTCCATTAATGAAAGCTAACACACCATTTGTCTTCTTAACAACTTTATCCACCTGGGTGGCAGCTTTCAGGGAACTGTGGACATGAACCCCGAGATCCCTCTGCTCCTCCACACTGCCAAGAATCTTTCCGGTAACCCTGTATTCTGCTTTCAGATTTGTCCTTCCAAAATGAATCACCTCACACTTTTCAGGGTTAAATTCCATCTGCCACTTCTCAGCCCAGCTCTGCATCTTATCAATGTTCCTTTGTAACCTAGAACAGCCCTCCGCACTATCCACAACTCAACCCACCTTCGTATCGTCCGCGAACTTACTAATCCACCCTACCA